AAGGAGATTGAATATTAGTTTACAGTGCTATACGCACTACCCCACGTACCCCTCATATTGTGATTATGCTCAGGCCCAAGTGATAGTGTGAGGTCGCACGCGTCTTTGGGTTAGCCGGCGTGTTGACAGGCCCCGTACGTGGCCGGGTACGTCCCGACGTATGAGTGGGTGATATGATGGTATAAGGGCTGGTGAGAATGTAGCCAGGCCCAGTGTGAGGTCGCACGCGTCTTTGGGTTAGCCGGCGTGTTGACAGGCCCCGTACGTGGCCGGGTACGTCCCGACGTATGAGTGGGTGATATGATGGTATAAGGGCTGGTGAGAATGTAGCCAGGCCCAGTGTGAGGTCGCACGCGTCTTTGGGTTAGCCGGCGTGTTGACAGGCCCCGTACGTGGCCGGGTGCGTCCCGACGTATGAGTGGGAGATATGATGGTATGAGGGCTGGTGAGAATGTAGCCAGGCCCAGTGTGAGGTCGCACGCGTCTTTGGGTTAGCCGGCGTGTTGACAGGCCCCGTACGTGGCCGGGGGGCGTTCAGACGTATGAGTGGGAGATATATGGTATAAGGGCTGGTGAGAATGTAGCCAGGCCCAGTGTGAGGTCGCACGCGTCTTTGGGTTAGCCGGCGTGTTGACAGGCCCCGTACGTGGCCGGGTACGTCCCGACGTATGAGTGGGTGATATGATGGTATAAGGGCTGGTGAGAATGTAGCCAGGCTCCAGGTGAGGTCGCACGCGTCTTTGGGTTAGCCGGCGTGTTGACAGACCCCGTACGTGGCCGGGTGTCCCGACGTATGAGTGGGGGTTATGATGGTGGTGAGGAATGTAGCCAGGCCCAGTGTGAGGTCGCACGCGTCTTTGGGTTAGCCGGCGTGTTGACAGACCCCGTACGTGGCCGGGTGCGTCCCGACGTATGAGTGGGAGATATGATGGTATGATGGCTGGTGAGAATGTAGTGTGAGGTCGCAGGTTAGCCGGCGTGTTGTACGTGGCCGGGTGCGTCCCGGGGAGCTATGTGTGTGTTGATGGATGTATGTATTTATGGATGATGGTTTAATTGATATCAGGAGCCAGGATTGATAGGAAAGAGCTACGTGTGGCTTGATCCCTTAGTAGGGTACGTAGGCAGCCTGGGATAGCGCCTAGGTGCAGCCACGACTTAGACACCACTTAGGTGGTTTCATTGTGTATGATGCGGACCTCGTGGTTGGTCCCGAAACTTGGTTGAATTGAGACTGGTCCGGTGGACTGAGTGAGCGAAGGTGTGCATAGTTAGATTTTGAATTGGTTCTGTGCATGTTTGATGCATGGAGTTATTTTAAAAGCAGTGTGAGTAGTTCTGCTAGAATCATTTGAAGGCTGGAGGCCATTTATGTAAATTGCCTGAGATTATATTGTGCGTGCTGCTGGTTGGGTTATAAAATGTGTTTTATGCAGGTGGAAATTTTGGGGAATGTTTCAATTTACAGGGGAGACTCTGCCGAAATTTTGGCAGAAAGTCTCGTGCCCTAAATCCTCTCTGGTAAACGAGGACGTAGATTTAAGGAGTAAACCCGGCGTGGGTGTGATGCCGGGGTCTCCGCAGGGTTCGTCTCGGGGGAAAAAAAAAAAAAAAAAAAAAAAAAAAAAAAAAAAAAAAAAAAAAAAAAAAAAAAAAAAAAAAAAAAAAAAAAAAAAAAAAAAAAAAAAAAAAAAAAAAAAAAAAAAAAAAAAAAAAAAAAAAAAAAAAAAAAAAAAAAAAAAAAAAAAAAAAAAAAAAAAAAAAAAAAAAAAAAAAAAAAAAAAAAAAAAAAAAAAAAAAAAAAAAAAAAAAAAAAAAAAAAAAAAAAAAAAAAAAAAAAAAAAAAAAAAAAAAAAAAAAAAAAAAAAAAAAAAAAAAAAAAAAAAAAAAAAAAAAAAAAAAAAAAAAAAAAAAAAAAAAAAAAAAAAAAAAAAAAAAAAAAAAAAAAAAAAAAAAAAAAAAAAAAAAAAAAAAAAAAAAAAAAAAAACCCATGCCTCTCTGCTTTGCCTCTCTCGGGTGCTGAGGAACCTCTGTGTATTAGAAGCCTAATGTTACTGTCTAATATTTTGACTACATGCCTATAAATTTTTTATTTATTTAAATATTTTGACTGTACAAGTGGAATAGCACTGTAGGGTGGACGCTACTTTAGACTATGTGAATGAGTTTGATATTGAGGAGGAGGTAATAGTACGGGCCAATGAAATCTTCTTCAACAGATTCAAAGAAAATTTTGGTTGAAATTTTGTACACCTTATTTGGAGGTAATATATGCATCATCCTTATGGCTTTGGAGAGAAAGAAAGGAAAAAGAAGTGAAATCAGAAGACAAAGATCCCCTGCTGACAGAAAAGCACCTTATGTTTATGAAAATTGGCCACCTTCTCTCCAATTCCAATCTTCTTTTCTTGCTTGCAATTTGCACAGCTGAGGCTTCCCTCTGCTCTCTATGTTCTATGTATATGTCCTTTCACTTTTGTCATGGTTGGTTTCAATTTCAAACAAGTTCAATGAATCCACAGACTCACAGCATGCGGAGGGCTAAGACTTGGCTGCTTCTTGTTTGACTTTTAAAGAGACACCAGGGACAGACAGATAGAGAGGTTTTGCCCCATTCTTTTGGTTTGGGCCGGCTACCGCCACAATACAATTTGCCGAAAGGAAGTCGGAGAATGATACAATGACAAACTTTGGTGTTGATTTGATGCCACTCTTTGTAATGGATGGGGTCCTCTCGTTTCAGAAGTTTCCGCTACACATTTTTTAACCTCGGTATAGACTTGTGGTAAGTTGGTTAGAAGTTTATATTTTTCACATATGACATTCATAAAATAATTAAACGTAGAAGTGCATTTGCTGCAAAATAACTATGTTGACAAACTTATCTGCCAAGGTCTGTATGCCTACTTGGTACTTTTCTACAGTCCATGTGATCCATGTGTTTGTTGTTTTTATTGAATATTCATAGATTTTTGCTTGTACCTTGTCACTTAAACAACGGGTAAGGAGGATAATGGAAGGCAACCGTCGAATGGGAAGGAATGGTAGATAAGTGTCACTGGTCCCTTTATTTCTCTTTTAACTTTCTTAAGGAAGATAAAGTTTGATCCAAAGTATAAGTTTCACTGATTGTTGGGACCAAGATGGGTGAGTGGTCTTATGAGATGTCTAGCCATTCATTTTAATTACTGCTCTTGTTCAATATTTTTGTCTTTTGATGTACTCCTCAAGTACCATATGACAAGGGCCGCATGCTTTCATTGTCTGATACATTGATTGTAACCTATTATCAATATTAATAGAAATATAGACATTGCTTTTCTCAATACCTATAGACCTTTTGCCTTCTAGTATGAATTCTATCAGTACACTCCTTCGAAGAGATGACAGAATGCTGGTATAACTGCGCGGCTATACTATTTATGGAGTATAGTGGCTATACTCTCTTTTAAAATATTCTGTTTGTGGCTTATAGCCACACAGCTGTTCTTTTAAATATTCTGTTTATAGAGTATACCCGAGCGGCTAGGCTGTTAAATATTCTTTTTTACGCGTATAGCCGATCGGCTATACTCTTTAAATATAACTATAAAAATCTAGATTTCTCTGTAGCAAAGCTGAGCCTTGAGATAATGAATCAATTAGACATGGTATGTATTTACGTTCTAACTTTGTTCCTCTGTGGGGGCTTAGGGTTTAGAGAAAATTTATGCCTTGTTTGTGTGTTGCATGTGTATGAGAAGTGATATAATGATGTTGCTCATCTTTTTAGGTGCCCTTTGTCATATTTCCTAAATAGATTCGAATATTTAAACGGTATAGTGGTGCGTCTATATTCGAATAATAATATAATTACTAATTGAAGTAATTAGAAAAGGCTAAGATATTACTTAAAGACATATATATATATTAATATTAAATTAAAGAAGTTGGGCAAAAAATAAAAGCAAAGAAACTAATCTATTTGCCGGATTAGACCTCTCCCGAGGAAAGTTTCCTATACCAACAAAATGTCGTCGGGAGAGGTTTAATCCGGCAAAATTGCATCGAGATAGACATGTGCTGACCAAAGTTCGTCGGCAGAGGTTTTTTTTAAATAATTAGTATCTTTAGGTCAGTACATTTTTATTTTAAATTTTTTTTTAGTAATTCAATAAAATCTTACCCTTATTTAATTACTTTCATTAGTAATTATGTTTTAATCATTATTTATTTTGTGAATAGTATTTAAATATTTTAATTAACTTCATAAATATATTACTTAATAAATAGTAATTGTTTTTTTTAAATTTTTTTCTGAATAAAATACTTAAATACTAATTATTCACTGAGTAATTAATGATCAAAACATAACTACAAAATAAAGTAATTAAAAAAGAGAAATTCAAATTATGATATTTCACGGCTATACGTTTAAAATATTATGTTAATGGAGCCTTACGAAAACAAATTTATGTCCGAAGTGCTAAATTGAATCAATAAATTTGTGATCATGAAAATACTTTAGTAATTCACTGAGTCACTTGAGAAGTTATTTTGTTCCTTGTGTACATATCCACATGACATGTTGATGTGATTTATCAAAATTTTCTCAAATTATTATAATTCGTGCACAATAGTTATAAAATCCAAATTTTATACAAAAAGAAGGAACAATAAGAGAAAAAAATCATAGCCAAAGGTGGTTCATATGGTAGATCCAAAGAATCATATGAAGATGAATCCATTCTCGTAGAAAGGTTAGAATGGTGGTTTATATTTTATGGAAAATAGTATAGCCGGTCGGCTATTCCTGGTATTTTCTTAATTTTTTTAAAAATAATATAGCCGTGCGGCTATAATTGGTTTTTTAAAAAATATTCTGGCGAATTGGACTCGAACTCATCACTACGAAACTTCGAGGGCACAGAGCCAGCCCGTTAAAGGTTTTGTGCAGTGTTCGAAATATCGGCCTACGCGCTGGGAGGGAGGACACGATACCAGGGAGTTAGGGGGGGGCCTAGACGGCCTTGGAGGATCTAGAGGCGCCTAGGCGGCTGGGAGGATCTAGGCGGCGCCTAGGCGGCCTGGAAGATCTAGCCTTCCCGGGCGGGTCCGGGCGCCAGGGCGGGTGGGTCGTGTCCTTTTTCCTTTTCAAATGAAATGAAGACAGACGAAGCTTGCTGGTGCGCAGGTAGAAAGGTGACATGTCTAGGGTACTCGTCACAATCAATATGCAACACTGTGATCCTCCTGGTTCTTTAGCCTCGTTTCGAAAGTCATCAGGCCTCCATACAGGGCCAATTGATGTGGGCTTTCACTCTTTTGTGCACATGTAGGCAAGCGAGTTCGGTGTCACTCACTTATATGCCGAACTGCTTGCTCACAGACGGCTTGCTGGCACCTTGTGATCTTGTTTTGTGGCTTGGGGGACGTCAGGCGCATGGCCTTCCTGTATCTACTTGTTGCGTGTGAGTAGAGCATGTCCTGTGGCGTGTCCATTGACTGCATTTGCTTGGCTGCAGATTTCAGTGAAACTGTAGGTGATATGCTTGGAGCTCCAGACTTTGTTTCAAGTTCTTGTTGTTGTGTCAGGCAGGGCCCCTGTGGCTGCAATGACCGTCTTGGCATGTTGGTTGCCCGTTTTTGTAATTGAGTAATTCGTGGGATAAGAAGGGAGCTACTTGTTAATTCAGAGGTAGGAGTCGCTGTATCTAGTTGTGCTGGTGGCAGCAACTTAGTTCTTGAAACTGGACCGAACTCTTGGTAGGCCTTGGACTGATGGCGGATAATACGAAGGTTAATTCGAGAGGAATAGCGCCTTGTTCTAGTTGTTGTTCGGTGCAGCAACTCCGAGTTTCTTGAAACTAGACCAACTCTTGGAGGCCTTGGACTGATTTGTATCAACAAGGTTATTTCGGTCAGAGGAAGAGCCTTGTTGCTATTGTTTTTTGGTGCAGCAACTGCTGTGGTTCGTTTCTTTGCAACAGGGCTGCAAAGTCTTCATTTTCCTTGCTGTGGTGCAATTTCTTAAAGAGCTGGTGCAAAATTCTAATTTCTTGCTGTGGTTCCATCCTTGATAAAAAGTGCTGCCAAATCTTCATTGGCGCAGCAAACTTGCTGTGGTTGTCTTGTGGAGCAATGGCTTCAACTAAGGGCTCCACTGCAGTTTCTGAAAAACGATCTGAAATTATTCTCGCATTTGTTGATTTGAAAGAATTTCTTCTTGCCTTTGCAATTCTCTGTTCCGCATCGATCTTCTGCATGCTCACTTGGGAACAGCTGCTGGAAATTCCATTTCGCGGGGTCTGCCTTATGACATCAAGCCAGCCTGATAGACTGATAGTGTTGTTTCTTTCACAAATGGTGGCTCTGATCGCAAGAGAAAAAGGTGTTTCTTTGGGAGAGCTAATTTGGTTCAAGAGAAAAGGGAAATGGGAAAAGGATTTTCTAGACAGGGCAAGAGTATTTCTAGATAATGGAGCCCAAATACATATTATCTCGGACTAACTCTGTATACCTAACTAACAACCTGTATAATATACTTTTACTGAAAGGAGACTATTACTGACTTGTAAATTTAACTCCATCTTGCGGGGTAAAATATATTAATTAACAGTAGACCTAACCAGTTTGAGTTTTAGGTCTCTTGGAAACATACCTACGAACAATAATGAACCCAAGAGTCATATATCCTTTGCCATATATACTCCCTAGCAAAATGAACGCCCACCTGCAACCTTCATGAATCTGCTTCCGAACCAGTCCCAGATCATGCATTAATATTTTTCCGCCCCAGTGAGGACATAATCTTGGTGACCTAAGTCTTGTCTAGCCATGTCATAAGTTGTTCATGGATGCGAACTTATAGGCGCAGTATATCAAACCCAAGTGCGTAATGTTGAATTATCCCGATGTTCTTCAACTGTGAGGTCATAACGTTTTCCAAGGATATTGCAACATCATTGAGAACCTCAAGAGAGGTATTGTCCATATACCCTTGTGTTGATAAGGAATGTCGTACAATATCGCCATCAACAAGAGGCTTGTTAAACTCAACAGCACCAAGATTGCACAAAAATGAAATTTATTTGAACGAGAAGCTGCATAAATAGCGACCTGATATATACAACGGCAAACCTGACCAATCCGCAACCGAGAAATATCAGGGATAATGGTAAAAACGTTATATACAGCTGTAAAACCAAGCAACTATTATATATTTCCCCCTGCTGAGCTGTTTCTCCCTGATCCGGACATACAACTCCCAGCTTGGATCCACAACATCAAAGGGACTGCTACCTAATTCAAAAAAAACAACAATTGATGTCAATTCTTACACTCCCCCTTCCCATCTTTTCTCCTTAAAAGTAAGAAAATAACAGTGTGTTCTCTGATGACGTGAGATAGGTGATAAAATTACCAATAAAGAAGAAGACACAAGAGGAATCAAGTGATGGTAAAGCTGTCCAGCAGCTGTCTTGCTCACAACCAAGCGAACAACCTGAAGTTGGCTGTAGTACAGTACTTCCACGCGGCTATACTAGGTTTTTTCCTAATTTTATTTTAAAAAGCATACAGCCGCTCGGCGATACTCGGGTTTTAAAATATTCTGGTGAATCGGACTTGAACTCATGACTACGAACGTCTAGGCACAGAGCAAGCCCGTTCCAGGTTTTGAGCAGTGTTCAAAATATTGGCCTAGGCGCTAGGCGGGAGGACACGACGACACTAGGGAGTTAGGGGGGGCTAGGCGGACTGGGCGGATCTAGGCAGTGCCTAGGTGGCCCGCGCGGGTCTGGGGGCGCCAGGGCGGGTCGTGTCCTTTTTTCTTCCAAATGCAGACAGACGAAGCTTGCTGGGGCGAAGGAGCAAAGGTGACATGTATATAGTGTGTGAGGAGGAGGAAAGTGTTGAATCTGTGTCTAATGTTTGAGGATTTTAGTTTTGTTATATGAGCAAGGAAAGAATCGTTTATGAAAAACGGTATGGAGAAGAGAAAGAGCAGATGAAATGAAGAATGTTCAGTATATTTCTTGATGCTTGATGCAAATGAGCACAAACACACACTCAAATACATGACACATACTGCCAAAATAGCTCAGAGCCTAAATTTAGGTACCAAGGACTCATCTCCAGCCATACATAATCATTGGAGGCTACGATCCTTACACCTAGGCTAGATTGGTTATCAAGCAAGGTACAGCTGAAAAAGATAGGAATTACAGCTGTAGGAATTTTCCCAAAAAGGAAATAAAACTAGCCGTTAGACAGCTAAGCTAACAGCTAATACTAAAACTAGGAAGTTCCCAAGTTCTTCGATTTCTTCATTCTCTTCATTATCAATCTGCAGGATTGTCATCTGCAGCTTGATTTAAGCTTAGTATGCAGCTTAATTCTCAACAGAAAGGTCACATAAATAAGAAAGGCGTAAGAAATGAGGGGTTTGTTTCGTGTGAAATAAAAGGAAGAGATAGAAAACTGTGTTTCTGTTGTTGAGAGAGTGAGAATTGGGAAGCAATGAAGAGGGAATGAGAGATTTATAATTCCTGGTGGTCTTGGTTGGGGTAAATGATTTTCTGTTCAAGCCCTGAAGCTGAAAGAACCTCCTGCACTGATATTTTCTTTGTCAATAGTCTTGAAGCTGTTGCTTTGTTATGAAGATCTTAATCCTTCTTGTAGCAGCCCTGTCCTTTTCTGTAACATCCACAGATGAAATAATACCTGCACTGATCGCATCACTTGCAACAGAACCCAGAAGAGGAATCATATAGTAAACCTTCCCAAGCTTCAGTTTGTAATAGGAGGGAGAAGCTCTGAGGCTTGCTTTGATACACTAATACCAGAGCCCGAAAGTTCATCAACATGTCCTTAACAAAGTTGGTGCCCTGAATTCTAAAACTTTCCCATCTGTCTTCACAACCCTCAAAACTTTCCTGCTTGGAGAGAACAAAACAGTTGACCATTTTTCTTCAGAACTAGAGACAAGCTATATATGTGTATATAGTTATAGTTCTAGCTAGTACTGGGATAATGGAGCCAATTGGGAGATATGTGTAGCTCTGAAAAGGTGATCCTATAACTTGCTTCAAGAGAGAGAGAGAGAGAGAGAGAGAGGATTTGTAGTTATAACTTATATTAACTATTGCTGGTGCGAAGGAGCAAACGTGACATGTATAGTGTGTGAGAAGGAGGAAAGGTGAAATAAAATAAGGAAGGCAAAAGTAATGAGGGGTTTGTTTCGTGTGAAATGAAAGGAAGAGATAGAAAACTGTCTTTCTGTTGTTGAGAGAGTGAGAATCGGGAGGCAAATGAAGAGGGAATGAGAGATTTATAATTCCTGGTGGTCTTGGTTAGGGTAAAGAAAAGGAAAAGATAAATTAGTCGTCAACATGCATGCAGGGAGAGGTCGGTTAGTGGGAGGGAGGTGGATTGGCATTGCTCACCCATGCCTTTTCTGCTTTATTGATTTCTTTCTGGTACTAAAAGCCTACTGTTACTGTCTAATAAAGTCACATAGAAAATTCTTACATTTTCTCCTCTGCAACTACATGCCTATAAACTTTTTTATTTATTTAAATATTTTGACTGTACAAATGGCATAGCACTGTAGGGTGGACACTACTTTAGACCTTGTGAATGAGTTTGATATTGAAGAGGAGGTAATAGTATGGGCCAATGAAATCTTCTTCAAACAGATTCAAAGAAAATTTTGGTTGAAATTTTGTACACCTTATTTTGGAGGCTTGTAGTGTAGATATGCATCATCCTTATGGCTTTGATGATGTCAAAAGAAGCATATTGTTCCAATTCTGGAATGAAGAGGGAGACAGCTTCAACTAGTTTTAGCCTTTTAATTAATTAGTTACTGGCAAAAGAGAGATAAAACAATAATTAAATAAAGGAGGTTAGGTGGGACTTAACTGAGCCCCAGAGAAACATCTCATTTTTGGGGTCTCCACTGAGGGAAGGTCATTATAACATAGGAGAGAAAGAAAGATGGAAAAAGAAGTGAAATCAGAAGACAAAGATCCCCGGCTGACACAAAAGCACACCTCTAATGATTAGTTTATTGAAGATGTCTATTTTTGGTAATTAGTTTATTGAAGATGTTGGCTTACAATAAAATAGGTCATTTAAATGAAGACCTAACCCAGCAAGCTGGCCCTTAGATTTGGCCTTCTCTCAGTGGTCCATTTTAAACTAGTTGATGTAGTCTCTCTGGCTCTGCTAGATTGAACTGAACTCTTTGAGATGATAAGATAGAGGGCTCTTGGAAGTGAAAACAAAGCTAGCTAGGCTGCAGTGCAGATGCCCTTTTGTTGCTGATGGAGGTAAGAGGTAATTGATCCCATCCCATGAACAACAACTTACAACTTACAAGTTAGAAGTTAGAGAAGGAGACAAATGGAACCATTTAATTCTTTCTATCTGCAGCAGCATAGTGTGTCCCTTCAGTTTTGTCTTGGTTGGTTTCAATTTCAAACAAGTTCAATGAATCCAAGCCAACAGTTACAGACTCACAGCATGAGGAGGGCTAAGACTTGCTTCTTCTTGTTTGACGTTTAAAGAGAGACACACCAGAGACAGACACAGAGAGACGTTTTGCCCCTTTTTTGGTTGTTGGAGAAATAACAGTATAGCCGGGCGGCTATACTACTTAAATATATTCGAATATTTTAACAGTACGGCCGAGTGTACTCTAAATATATATTTTAAAAGTATAGCGGTGCGGCTATACTCATTAAAAATTGAATTTGAAAAAAGGTATGGCCGCGCGGATATACTTGTTAAAACAAAATAAAAATTAGTATAGCCGATCGGCTATACTCGTATAAAATTAAAAAAATAAAAATAATATAGCCGCTCAGTTATAAGCTTTAAAAAATTAAAAATAATTAAAATAGAGCCGGGGCTATCCTCGTCAAAAATAAATATAATAAGGGTATAGCCATGGGTCTCCAGTATCAATGGGAGTTGACTTCGGGGTAGGCCAGTCTACAGTTTCTCAGGTGACTTGGAGATTCATTGAAGCATTGGAAGAACGTGCCAAGCACCATCTCAAGTGGCCTGATTCCAACAGAATGGTAGCTAAAGGGTTCACTCAGACATATGAAGTTAACTATCATGATACTTTTGCACCTGTGGCTAAGATGAATACTGTCAGAGTTTTGTTGTCCTTAGCAGTTAACTTGGATTGGACTCTGAGGGCAATTTGATATAAAAAATACATTCTTACATGGTGAACTAGAAGAAGAAGTGTACATGAGTCTTCCACCAGGGTATAGGGTTACCGGTGAAACAGGGAACGTATGCAAATTGAAAAAGGCGATGTACCGGTTAAAGCAGTCTCCTCGGGCATGGTTTGACAGATTTACCACCGCTATGAAGAAGTTTGGTTACCAACAGGCCAATACTGATCATACTCTATTCATTAAACATAGGGCTGGTAAGGTGACTTTATTGATTATTTATGTTGATGATTTATGTTGATGATATGATTGTGACTGGAGATGAAACTGTAGAAATCGAGAGACTGCAGAAACATTTAGCATCTGAATTTGAGATGAAAGATTTGGGCAGTCTGAAATATTTTCTAGTTGTGGAAGTCACTCGATCTAAACATGGCTTATTTCTTTCACAAAGGAAGTATGTCATGGATCTGCTAGCAGATACTGGAATGCTTGACTGTAAACCAGCTGATGCACCTATTGTTGAGAATCATAAACTTGGTGTTTATGTGGATCAGGTCCCAACCAATAGAGAAAGATACCAAAGGTTGGTTGGGAGATTGATTTATTTATCATTGACACACCCTGATATTACTTATGCTGTAAGTGTTGCTAGCCAATTTATGCATTCACCTAGTGAAGATCATATGGCTGTTGTGATGCGTATTTTGAGTTACTTAAAGTCTGCTCTTGGGAGAGGTTTATTATTTAAGAAAAATGGTCACTTGGATCTAAAAGGTTACATTGACGTAGATTATGCAGGGAATATTACAGATAGACGTTCTACATCAGGTTACGTCACCTTTTTTGGTGGTAATCTAGTTACGTGGCGTAGCAAGAAGCAAAACGTTGTGTCTCGATCCTCTGCAGAGTCTCAGTACAGAGGGATTGCCCAAGGGGTTTGTGAAATACTATGGTTGAGGTGGTTACTTGCTGAAATTGGGTTTAGACCGAATGCTGCTACAAAGCTCCACTGTGATAATCAGTCTGCATTTGAAATTGCTAACAATCCGGTGCAACATTATCAAACTAAGCATGTAGAAGTTGATCGGCATTTCATTAAGGAGAAGCTGGAGCATAAGTTAATTTCTATACCTTTTGTGCCTTCTTCAGAGCAGCTTGCAGAAATGTTGACCCATGCCGTGTCAAAGCGCCGATTTGAAGACTCACTTGACAGGTTGGGCATTACCGATATCTAAGCACCAATTGAGGGGGAGTGTTGGCGTGAGTCAACGTTCCTATTAGGAATAGAATTTATATTTATTGTAATTATCTAATTTGAGTAGAATTAGGAGATTTTTGTACTTATTTCTTATTTGTAACCACTCCGTATGTAGTATATATATTCCTCATTGAGAGAAGAATAAATATATCAGTTTTAAAACCCTAATTATTTTGAGTCCAGCTTCCATTTCCGATGCCGTGCATGGGGCTGCAAGGTCACTTGTAGTAACGGCATTCTCGCAGTTAAAGGGCACTTGGAGAATCCTTAACAAGGTCATGTGGAGACCTGATAAGCGGAAACTTCCAAGCATCATCTGTTGATGTGTAAGCCTTGAGCTGAAAACCTTGGAGCCAAAGTCACAAAGTTTGTTTTAATTTCATTTTATATGTTTTAATTTCTGTTTGTAATGTGAGCCACTGGATCATAGTCCCAAGTGGACTCTCTTTCTAGTCTAGGACTTAAGTGGCAGCTAGTGACAAATGTAAGCATCTCATAGGATGATAGAAGCAATGGCTAGGATTCAATTTTGATGTAAATCCGTTAGAGAAGCATCTCACTTCTCTCTCTCTCTGCTAACAATATATTGGCTAGTGGAGTAGAAATGAATAGTCATCTCCATTTTTTCTATTTCAGAGCAACGTTCTCTTCTTCATACTCTCTGTGTGATTTCTTCCTTCCTCCCAAACATCCAAAATATTCAAAAACTAATTACTGAAACTATGAATTCTAACATCATCTTGGTGTGTTGTTTACTTCACAATATAATAATTGATAGTGGAGATATATTACAACTTAGTGATGGCCTCGTTAGCTTCTTCCAGCTGCCCCTTCACGTTTTCAACTTCAATACCTTTGCCCTTTTGCTCTTTTCAGTAATCTCCACCTTCCTCTTCAGGTCTTCCACGATTATTTGAAGGGTTCTTAACTTTTGTACATCAGCATCAAGTCTTTCTAGAATCCTTCTCTTGTTGCCTTCTTGACGGGATCTGTAAATCTCTTAGAGATCTCTAATTTGTCCACGCCCAATTCCTTCTCAACCAATGATTTTGAAGAGGAATATTTATTCTTGTGTTTCCTTTAAAAGACTTTCTGGCTAGAAGACCATACACGATGGCATTGAAGCACAAAACATAATTGCATTAACTCATGGGTGCGTGTCTAGTTTATGAGATGTGGCGTCTGCAAGCACATGCTTCTCAGGTGCTGTTGTACACTCCTTCAAAGACATGACAGATAAACGAAAATCAGGGGGGAGGAAAAAAGGATGCCAGTATAGCCGCACGGCTAGACATTCTAAACATATTATACTATTTAAATGGTATAGCCGTGCGGCTATACTGTTTTTCTTTAAATTTAAAAAAAGGCCAAAAATGGCTATACGCTTTATATTTCCCTCCCTGCCTGGCTCGCTTCACCGAATCACTTCCCATCAAAGTCTTCAAGTTCAAGGCCAAAAAAGAGGTGGGCAATTCCTCATTTGAGCTATCATGGCGTCTCCCAAGAAATCAAAGAAAAGCAAGAAAGATAGGAAAATTGAAGAAAAACTTAAGCTTGGTTCCAGTCGAGCCTAAAGCCCCAGACTCTGGCTGGTGGGATAGTTTCTTCAACCCAAGGTTTTTCTTGAGCTACTTATTGGAAAAGGATTTTGTTTTGTGTTCTTAATTTTCTTCTCTTATTCTACAGATGGTTTTCCATTTGCAAGCAATCCAGTTGGGAATATCTCAAGTGGCCAAGTACTTCAGTACGAAATATCTGCTCCCTTTGTTGAAATGGGTGTAAGTATGAAGAATTCCAAAAGCTATATGAAAATAGATGGAGGTAAATCAGATAGAATCACAGGCAAAGATGAACGCAGGGAATCATATTGGTTTTCGCTTATTATTACCCAGAGCTATGAGCTTTCTCGCTCAGGGAAGGCTGATGAAGTTTTCAGTAAGAGGAAGAATATGTTAGATCACTCTTATGTTAAATTCAGATTATGATATTTCAAAGGTATAGCCGTGCGGCTATACATTTAAAATATTATGTTTATGGACTCTTACCAAAACAAAATTTATGTCCGGAGTGCTAAATCGAATCAATAAATTTGTGATCATGAAAATACTCTAGTAATTCACTGAGTCAATTGAGAAGTTATTTTATTGCTTGTGTACATATCCACACGACATGTTGATGTGATTTATCAAAATTTTCTCAAATTAATATAATTTGTGCAGCATAGTTATAAAATCCAAATTTTACACAAAAAGAAGGAACAATAAGAGAAAAAATTGTAGCCAAAGGTGGGTTTCATGTGGTAGATCCAAAGGTTCCTATGAAGATGAATCCATTCTCTTAGAAAAGTTAGAATGGTGGTTCATATTTTTTGAAAAATCGTATAGCCGAACGGCTATACTCGGTTTTTTTTTCCAAAATTTTATTTAAAAATAATACTTCTGCAGTAAATTTTATTTTAAAAATAGTATAGCCGGGCGGCTATACTTGTTTTCCCCCTAATTTTAAAAAATATAGTAGAGCTGTTTAATTTTTAAAAAAAATAGTGTAACCGTATCGGTTTTTTTTTTTTTTTTTTTTTTTATATTCTAGCGAATCGGACTCGAACTCATCACTACGAACATCTAGGGCATAGAGCAAGCCTGTTCCAGGTTTTGAGTAGTGTTCGAAAAATCGGCCTAAGCACTAGGCGGGAGAGGACACCGACACCACGGAGTTAGGGAGGGCCTTGGTGGGCCTGGGTGGATCTAGGCGGCTCCTAGACGGCCTTGGCGGATCTAGGAGACGCCTAGGCGGCTGGGGTGGGTCTGGTCTAGGCGCTAGGGCAGGTCCTGTCCTTTTATTTCCAAATGAAGACAGACGAAGCTTGCTGGTGCGAAGGAGCAAAGGTGACATGTATATAGTGTGTGAGATGGAGGAATGGTGACATAAAATAAGGAAAGGCATAAGAAATGAGGGGTTTGTTTCGTGCGGAGTGAAATGAAGAGATAGAAAACTGTGTTTCTGTTGCTGAGAGACTGAGAATTGGGAGGCAAATGAAGAGGGAATGAGAGATTTATAATTCCCGGTGGTCTTGGTTGGGGTAAAGAAGAGGAAAGGATAAATTAGTCGTCAAACATGCATGTAGGGAGAGGTCGGTTAGTGGAGGGAGGCGCATTGGCAGTGCTCACCAATGCCTTTTTGCTTTATTGATTTCTTTCTAGTACTAGAAGCCTAATGTTACTGTCTAATAAAGTCACATAGAAAATCCTTCAACTTCAACCAATAGTGCTGACAAGAAAATTCATAGCTCTTGAATCTCATATTTTAAAGTTATTCATTTGCAGTAATTTTCCAATAGGAAGCTTGGTTTGACTCGGTGAGTATTCTGGAGTCAGACTCGGATGATGACATTATCAGTATACAGGGAGATAATGGCCATCAGCCTGATGGAAATGTGATCTTATGTTCTATTGGAACACTCAGGCTGTTGATATATTTGAATGATGCTTTTAGAAAATGGTTGACGATGAGACAGAAAAAGTTAAAGGATTTGCAAAGGACTCCACTGTACCTTTAAGAGAAAGACTAAAGATCTTGGCCGGGGTGGTAAATCATGAGTATATCGGTCGGAGTTCTGCTGAGAAGAAGCTTGTGCATGCATATAATGACAACCAGTTCTTTCACAGCCCTAGCATAATTTTTACAAGGTAAACATTGAATATTTATGTTGCTGAGTGTTAAGAAGATGAAACAGAAAACCCATGTTGTTTGACTTTATCAAGCTCTCTCACATGCAGGGTCCTAACTACTTTGCGATTGATCTGGACATTCATCGCTTCAGCTACATATCAAGGAATGGTCTCGAATTGTTTTATGAACGTCTTAAAAAACGGAATAGCCGAGAGCAGCGATATTCTCTTCTAAAATGATCTATTTATGGAGTATAGCCAGGCGGCTATACTCTCTTTTAAAGTATTCTGTTTATGGCTTATAGCCGCACGACGGTACTTTTAAATATTCTGTTTATAGATTATAGTCGAGCGGCTGTACACTTCAAATATAACAATAAAAATCTGGATTTCTCTGTAGCAAAGCTGAGCCTCGAGATAATGAATCAATTAGACCTAGTATGCATTTACGTTCTAGCTTTGTTCCTCTGTGGGTGCTTAGGGTTGAGAGAAAATTATGCCTTGTTTGTGTGTTGCATGTGTATGAGAAGTGACATAATGATGTTGCTTATCTTTTTAGGTGCCCTTTGTCATATTTCCTAATACATTCGAATATTTAAATGGTATAGCGGTGCGTCTATATTCGAATAATAATATAATTACTAATTGAAGTAATTATAAAAGGCTAAGATATTACTTAAAGAAATATATGTTAAATTTAAGAAGTTGGGCAAAAAATAAAAGTAAAGAAACTAATTTTATATTTAAAAAAAAATAAATAAAGAGCAAGAAGACCTGTGGCGATGACATTTCGTCCGCACATGTCTATGCCGGCAACTATTTGCCGGATTAGACCTCTCCCGAGGAAAGTTTCCTATGCCGACGAAATGTTGTCAGGAGGGGTTTCTGTTCCATTAATGAGTACATATCTTGTGCAAGTTTTTGTTCCAATATACGATACTTTACTTTGTACCAAACAGATATTACCTAATTGACAAAGTGGATGTGAAAAAAGCAGGTGACTTGTTTTCTATTTGTAAACACGGATCCTATAACGTGATGCAAAATTGAAATAAAAATACAAGTTACAGAGAATGAAAACGACATTGACAAGTTAAAGGTAGCGTTAGCTGCTCAATTTCATGAGAAGTAATAAAGTTCTGCAAATATTCGAATAACAAAAGCTAGGATGCAAGCATAGAGCTCAAAGGTTTACAGATAAGCCTCCGATATTCCAACCCACAAACCACTTTCACCCTACAGATTGCATCAATTGGTAAAGTACAAGGGCATCGCCAAAATCGAAGTCCTTTATGATGCCTCAGCAATGATAGAGAGCTCCACAGACACTTTCTCGGCTATTGATTTGATCTCTTTCACTCTCTCATCAACTAACTGCTGGGAGTTGCTCCTCCTGATTTGGTTGATTCTCATCTATCTGAACAGTACTAGCAGCTTCACCAGCTTGTGACCTGAACATCACAAATGACATCTCGGGTTCATAATTGCTTGGAACTTCAATCACTTGCTTCCCACCAGTCCCAGAATCTTTTCCGATAAGATCATCCTTCATGCGGTTAGAAATAATTCCCACAAAATCATCCATATAGCTGTCAACATGATCAAGGCTGAGATAAAGGAAAACCCTCCCACCACTGAAGAAACTGTTTCTAGTTGATTTTCAAACTTTTCCGGACATCCTCAATGACTCTAGTGTCTGGCATGAGTCGAGGAGGGTGTGTCTTCTTTGACAATTTCCTTGCTTTAGTTGCGAAACTGCTGAGCTGACTGCATGCTTGATTGGATCGAACTTATGAAGGCGCAGTACATCGTACAAGTGCGTACATGTTCAAAGTAATCCAATGGTTCATCAACTGTGAGGTCATAGACGTTTTCAGATATTGCAACATCATTGAGAACCTCAAGAAGGTATCGTCCACAACCCTTGTGTTGATAAGGAGGCAATACCAATATCTGCCATCAACAAGCAGGCTTGTTAAAACTCAACAGCACCAAGATTGCACAAAAACTGAAATTTATTTGAACTACGGAAGCACCAAGCTGTTTCTCTAGAGCATGCATAACTAGCAACTGATATATATAAAGCAACATATTGTAGATTTCCCCCTGCTGATCTGTTTTCCTCTGGATCAGGACATATAACTCCCAGCTTGGATCCACAACATCAATTGCACTGCTACCTAATTCAAAAAACAACAATTGATGTCATATTCTTACATTCCCCCTTCCCATCTTTTCTCCATAAAAGTAAGAAAATAACAGTGTTCTCTGATGATGTGAGATGGGTGATAAAATTACCATCAATAAGAAGAAGAACAGAGGAATCAAGTGATTGTAAAGGTGTGCAGCATGCAATACAACCAAACGAACAACCTGAAGTTGGCTATAGTATAGTACTTCCACGCGGCTATACTAGGTTTTTCCTAGTTTTATTTGCTGATTCGATTGGTTGGGTTCTCTCAATGTCTGTCGAGGCAAAGCCTTTGTCCTCCGAGTTCGGCACCTATGTGCCTGGTGACGCGGACGACTACATTTCGGTGAGTGTGGTTTCTCTTGTTTGGTTACTGAGAAATGTTGGGAAACCATGAAGAAATTGAGTAATTTGTTTACCGGAAGGATCCAATTCGGTTTAATTTCAAATTAATGTTAGAATTGGTGAAACTCTTTCAATCAGATCAAAAGTAAAATAGATTTTTGTTGTTATAAAAGACAACATTCTAACAAGGGGTGCATTGATTCATTGGCAGACCAACACAAGACACACTGGTTCACCAATTGCAAGCCTCTTCTTTGTAATTGGTCGATGGTTCGTTCATGTAAAGCCAACCAAGTAGAAAATGCAACAAATTTAAAAAGCCTTTATTTTACATGTTTTTGGGGAAGAAAATACAGTAGCACATCATTTAGCACATGACTTATTGGTAACAAATTTTATTTTTGTTCACCCTATGGTAGTATATTACATACTGTTGTAGATATATTATCATATGGTGTAAGTATATTGTTCTATTGCCTATTGCATAGGTATATATATATATATATATGTATTTTTCATATTTTTGACAACATATAATAGTATTTTATGTACCATGTTTTTTCATAGGTAGCATACAATTTTTATTTGTCTATTTTTGTATCTAAATATAGGTGGTCTTCTTATTTATGTTCCTAACTTATAGGTAGTCTTTTAATTTATGTTCCTGACTTATAGCTAACACGATTTATCACTAAGTTTTTTCCCTTGCTAATAATAACTCTTTACCTGTATGCTAAGTACATAATTTCATGTGGGTGCTTGCCTGAATAATTGGTATAATATGTGGATTTTTACTGTCATGAATTAAATTAAATTTTATCCATGTATTGGGTAAATATTACCAAGGAAAGAATTGAAAATTTAAATTCTCAAATCCAATTCGATGAAATAATGCATTAAATATAGATTTTTAATGTGTTTTCTTTATTTACCCCAATGGGTAAATCGACACAACAAAAAGGTAATGAAAGTCAAAGGACTTACATCTAAAACCAAAAACACATTGACTAAACTCAATGACGGCTAATCATTTTGGACCTAGATCGAAGAACCCCTTATATTTTCTACTCAAAGGTTCTTAAAGGGAGCTTCAAGCATTGATCAACACTTCTTCTCAACACCATTTAAGAAAAATATACTTGTGAGTGTCCAAAGTTGCTATTGTCATAATTATTGCTAGAGTGATTGTCTTGCATTTCCTATTGGAAATGGCAAGATGGTGCCTGTAACACTAGTTTTAGAGGCATAGCCATGCGGCTATACTCTTTAATATATCCAGGGTTTAGCTCTGATAATCCTTTTCCATGTAAACAAAAAAAAAAATTGCAAAATCAGAAACGTACGTAAATTGGACGCCATGGTAGCCACGGATAGAGGACTCGAACTCGTCTGTACGAACGTCTAGGGCACAGAGCAAGCCCGTTCCAGATTTCGAGCAGTGTTCGAAAAATCGGCCAAGGCACTAGATGGGAGGACACTGACGCCAGGGAGTTAGGCGGCGCCTAGGCGGCCTCGAAGGATCTAGGCGGCGTCTTGGCGGCCTTGAAGGATCTAGGCGGCGTCTTGGCCGCCTGGGAGGATCTAGGCGGCGCCTAGGCGGCATGGGAGGATCTAGGCGGCGCCTAGGCGGCCTGGAAGGATCTAGGCGGCGCCTAGGCGGCCTGAAAGGATCTAGGCGGCGCCTAGCGGCCTGGGAGGATCTAGGTGGCCTGGGCGGGTCGTGTCCATAGTTATAATCAACTTAGGCATCCATAGTTTTCCAAAAATTTACAAGCAGCAAAACGGAGAAAAGACGAGAATCATGGAGTTTTCTTCGATCTGAACAACTCTGAGAGGGGAAGCAACCTCTTCTGTCGCTGCCACCTGAAGAAAGGATCTTGCCACCGCTGTACAATCAACAAAACAAAACCAAATTTTCACAAAGAAGAAAAACAAACGCATTCAAATTTACAGATAAAAATACAGATAGAGAATTGTACGAACGGGTTGCCATGTTGTAATTTCACGGAGAGAGCAAAATAAGAGAGGAGAGATTAAAATAAGAGAAGAGAGACAGAGCAACAGTATAAGATGGGAAGCTTTGCCTCTCTCGGGTGCTGAGGAACCTCTGTGCATAGTGAATGTGAAGATGATTGCTAAACCCATGCCTTTCTGCTTTGCCTCTCTCGGGTGCTGAGGAACCTCTGTGTATTAGAAGCCTAATGTTACTGTCTAATATTTTGACTACATGTCTATAAATTTTTTATTTATTTAAATATTTTGACTGTAAAAGTGGAATAGCACTGTAGGGTGGACGCTACTTTAGACTATGTGAATGAGTTTGATATTGAGGAGGAGGTAATAGTACGGGCCAATGAAATCTTCTTCAACAGATTCAAAGAAAATTTTGGTTGAAATTTTGTACACCTTATTCTGGAGGTAATATATGCATCATCCTTATGGCTTTGGAGAGAAAGAAAGATGGAAAAAGAAGTGAAATCAGAAGACAAAGATCCCCTGCTGACAGAAAAGCACCTTATGTTTATGAAAAGTGGTCACCTTCTCTCCAATTCCAATCTTCTTTTCTTGCTTGCAATTTGCACAGCTGAGGCTTCCCTCTGCTCTCTATGTTCTATGTATATGTCCTTTCACTTTTGTCATGGTTGGTTTTCAATTTCAAACAAGTTCAATGAATCCAAGCCAACAGTCACAGACTCACAGCATGCGGAGGGCTAAGACTTTGCTGCTTCTTGTTTGACTTTTAAAGAGACACCAGGGACAGACAGATAGAGAGGTTTTGCCCCATTCTTTTGGTTTGGGCCGGCTACCGCCACAATACAATTTGCCGAAAGGAAGTTGGAGAATGATACAATGACAAACTTTGGTGTTGATTTGATGCCACTTTTTGTAATGGATGGGGTCCTCTCGTTTCAGAAGTTTCCGCTACACATTTTTTAACCCCGGTATAGACTTGTGGTAAGTTGGTTAGAAGTTTATATTTTTCACATATGACATTCATAAAATAATTAAACGTAGAAGTGCATTTGCTGCAAAATAACTATGTTGACAAACTTATCTGGCAAGTTTTGTATGCCTACTTGGTACTTTTCTACAGTCCATGTGATCCATGTGTTTTGTTGTTTTTATTGAATATTCATAGATTTTTGCTTGTACCTTGTCACTTAAACAACGGGTAAGGAGGATAATGGAAGGCAACCGTCGAATGGGAAGGAATGGTAGATTAGTGTCACTGGTCCCTTTATTTCCCTTTTAACTTTCTTAAGGAAGATAAAGTTTGACCCAAAGTATAAGTTTCACTGATTGTTGCTTTTTTTTTAATTTTGTAGGTTATCATTGATTCTTCGACAGGTTCAATAGCTAATTTTTCTTGTGAAGTGGAAATTAGCAAGTAGATCTTTCATCCTCCTCCTTTCCTACTTAATTTTCTAGTATGCAGAATGTCATTTGTAAACTCCACTACCATGCTTCCTCCTTTTAAAGAAAAAAATTTATTATTTATGTAGGGGTGAACCACTCCCAAATGGACGTTTCTATTTAGAGGTTAGATACGAGTGTCTTTCACTTCAATCTGTACTTTTGCGCTCTGTTTACATTGTATAATTCGATCTTGGGACCAAGATGGGTGAGTGGTCATATGAGATGTCTAGCCATTCATTTTAATTACTGCTCTTGTTCAATATTTGTGTCTTTTGATGTACTCCTCAAGTACCATATGACAAGAGCCGCATGCTTTCATTGTCTGATACATTGATTGTAACCTATTATTAATATTAATAGAAATATAGAAATTGTTTTTCTCAATACCTATAGACTTTTTTCATTCTAGTATGAATTCTATCAGTACACTCCTTCAAAGAGATGACAGAATTCTGGTATAGCTGCGCGGCTATACTATTTATTGAAAACAAAAAGGCCAAAAATGGCAATACAAGCTTTATATTTCCCTCCATGCCTGGCTCGCTTCACCGAATCACTTCCCATCAAAGTCTTCAAGTTCAAGGCCAAAATAGAGGTGGGCAATTCCTCATTTGAGCTCTCATGGCGTCCCCCAAGAAATCAAAGAAAAGCAAGAAACATAGGAATATTGAAGAAAAACTTAAGCTTGGTTCCAGTCAAGCCTGAAGCCCCAAACTCTGGCTAGTGGGATAGTTTCTTCAACCCAAGGTTTTTCTTTTCACTAAGCTCAGTCTTCAATTACTCTGCTTCCTGCTTTTTAGTGGAATGCATTCAAATTACCTGTAGTTTTAACTAAATTATCTTTATATTTTGCTTATTTTGGAAAATCTATGATGCACATAAGTCTAGAACAGGCGGTGGATTTTGTTCTGTAATGTTAAATTCGGTAATGATGTTCATAATTAGAGCTCAAAACCTATAAACTGTGCTTTTGTTCATAATTAGAGCTCAAAACCTAATT